GAAGCTGTTTTTTACTGGCTTGGTAAATTTAAGTATTGAATTATCCACCAGCTTTGGGGTCTGTCTGCCCCACTCTTTGCAGTTCACCCTAATTGAGTGACCTCAGCTGGCCCAGTGACCCACTGGGACCTGTCACAGTGACAATTATGGACACATTTCCAACATAGCCTCTATACTTAAGTAATGCAGAATCTTTTTATCAGCAATATTTAGTTCCACATAGCATATGAACTGAGCACTTAAAACATGAAGTTCTTTCCCTGCTTCACTACACAAGGACAGCACTAAGATACTGAAGCAGGGCTGACGACAGACTCCTTATTGCTGCTCAAGTATCTGGATAGCAGTTCTGTTCTGACTGACAATTGAGTCCATTACACAAAAGTAAATTAAACGGTTTCATCCATACCATATATCAGCACGACAATCATTTCAGCCTAGTTGACAAAAGTGACTGCAAAACCTCAAGCATTCACATTTTGTTCTCCATTAGTTTGAAATAATGTATACAACCATTAAATAGGAAATTAGAAGAATTTTCTTTGAAATAGGAATTATTACAACATGGATATAATTCTATACATTGCTTGAGAGGCAAAGTAAGAGGTGATTCCTGTCCCAATCTATGAAAGACAGGATACCACATAGCATAACAGTTCAAGAGGGAGGATGTGAGGATTATTGGGGAGATGAGCAAACTGGAGAGGATTTTATGGATAAATTTAAAGGAGGTGAGAGGGCTTGGGTGGTAAATGGGGAGATTTCCTTGGGGGTAGCCATGAAGCTGAACCTGGAAGAAAACCAGTAGGTAGGTATGTAATTATGACCTTGTTTTCACTGTAGTGCACTTTTAAATTCCTAAGGAGTCTGCTGTTGCATTGTTAGCATCAATGCAGAATGCAACAGGTGAAACATGCTATATGTTCTCAAGATGTTCTTGCTTGGTGTTTCTTTTAATCAGAAAGAAAGAAAATAACATTCTCATATAATTAAAGACTGTATCCTAAAATAGCTGGCATGCCATAACTTTGCAAAATTATGGCAAAAATCGCCTTAATGTTTAGATCCTCATTTTCAGTAGGTATTGGCTTATAAGGGGCAATCTTACATTATAAGATATTTTTGTAACACTATGAGCTGCTGTAACTGGAGAGAAAAAAACATCTCACTTAGCAAAATGTTGCTGTAGGAGTAACAGCAAGGTGTGCTCTAATTCACTTATGAGAACTGGTATAAGAAGTTAGAAGAGTAAATTAGAGAGAATGACAGTTACCCACACTCTACTGTGCCTTGCAAAATGTCTGAGTTTGCAAGAACAGGAAGGTTAAGATACAACGGGGGGGGGTGGGGGGAGGTTGAACCCCCCCATTATGTCCATCGCTCAAGTCACCACAACCAGAATAATGAACATTCTTGTTGACAGTTGTGTCAAAGAGTTAAAAGGCTGAATGGCCATAAAGACTGAACACTTCTCACCCTTAGATGTAGTCTTTCCAGTTTGGAGGACTAGCACTTGTGCAAGGCTTTGGGTAGCTGACACTGCCACTATCCGTGCTGCTGTTCTGTAGGATAAAAGGACTTCCTTCTCCGGGATCATCCACTCAACACCTTTCACCAGCACTTAAATACATTTTGAAATGAAGTACCAAATTACAATATGTTTCTTTTATCCATCCCCTGCACCTGAAAGTCTTATGTAAGTCTTCATGTGCATTGGCCTTATGGATGGTAGTTCTCAGTGGGTTACAGAGGGTGTGGCAGCCTCACAACCAACAAGGCAAATGAGTTGGGCAGCTTCTGGCTTGGTTTTCTTTTCTTAGAGCCAGCAAGACACTCTCATTCTGTTGACTTGAATCTGGAAGCTGACAGCTCTTTGAATTTTATCAGAGGATTGAACATTCTGGGTCATTTAGCCAATTGATCATACACAGTAATTCAGGTAGCCATGAGCTGGCAGCAGCAATTTTACTGTCATGTTCAAATTGAATGGGAGAGTGTTTGGGCTAAATCATGGGACTAGTGACAAGAAATATGAATTCTCCTTGCAACACAGCCACAGACTAGCTCTACAACCTTAGACTAATCACTTGATTGCCAGTTCTTCAGCTTCAGTTTCCCCATTTGTCAAGGAGAGATAGGAGTACTTTTCATAGGAGCGTTGTGCAGCTTCATCCGTTAATATTTAAGTGCTTTATGATCTTTAGATGCTAGGGAAGAGCAAAGAGATATAGGAGAACTGAAAAACCCTAGAACAGTAGAAAGCAATATTTAACATGAGCCATGAATTAAACACAGATAGAATGGAGGAAAATGTCTCCAGTTCCCTGTGACAAAAAATATCAACAAAGTTAAAATGCAGAGTATGTAAAACAGTAATTCAATCCATTTTAATGTATGGAACAGAGACTTGGCCAGCCACAAGAAAGGAAGTCAGTATGTACTACACCATGGAAATGAAGATACTGAGATGGTCAAATGGTTGGACACTCCATGATAGGAAATGAAATAAGGTTGTAAGTTGCTAATGAAGCTGCTCCAACTGAAGACACGTTTAGCGAGGCTAGGCTACGTTGGTATGGGCATATGCAGCAGAGACCTGAAAACTATACTGATAGGATGGCTCTTGCGATGACTGTGGATGGAAGACGACCAAAGGAGAGGCCAGAGACTTGGTACATTGACTGGATATTGATGGACCGTACACACACTAATCTACATGACAGATCATGAGTTTTGGAAGAAGGCTATAAAAGTCACCGACCCCCACATAGGAAAGGGGCAAGGAATAAGAAGAAGTTTGGAGGACTGAGCTCCTCTTAAGGAAAAAGATTCAAAAGGAATAAACTTGCATTAAGGGTCAGATTATGACACACTTGGTGTGGTCTGTCTCTCTCTGTTAAGAATAGTTCTTGATAGCAATTAATCATTGTGAAATGTGTGAAAAACTAATATCCCCATCTCCTCCCATACTGAACCTCATACACCACCAGACAATGATGGGACATCTGCTTTGCTGAGGCTAGAAATAAAGACAGACACAGATACAGACACACGAAATGCCCATTTTTTTGCTAGCTGTCTGCTAGAGGGCAAATAAACTCTTTCTCACAAGCTATTTTTGCAGACAACTTGAAATGAAACTCAAATAATCATTGATTTTCTGAATATTAACGATGTAAGTGACAAATGCTTTCTCTCCTCCCTTCTCCCCCAAGCTTATACCTAGAAAAGGAATCTCTCTTGAACTGTCGGAATTTCCAGGGTGCATGAGTATGGGAAAAACCATGTATGGCACGTTGCCTCTCCGTTCCAATTATCATTGGGTCACTGCTATTGTGTTTTGAGTTGCACTGAAAGGATTTCACTGTGCGAATTTGAGCATGGCTAGTGGTTCAGTAAGTAAACAGCCCAGGCAGTAACAATTTCCTGTTTGTGACCGGAGCAAAGAGAAATGATGTCTGAGTGGAAATGGGGTAGCAAAGGCTGAACAAGACAGCTTTTTTTTTTTTTTTTTCCCTTCTGAGTGCTTTGGAGCTCAAAGCACCTGAAGAAATAAAGGGGACTCCAATAACCAATATAATTTTTCAAAACCTAGGGTGAAAAGGATTCAAGTAGGGCACAGCTCACCAAACAGCAGCTCACCTGGTAGGGGTAACATTCACACACATCACTGCCACAAGGACCACAGTACTGTCTAGCACCACACCCCCTTAACAACAGCACTCTACATGAGTAAGTACACTCCTGTATTTCATCAGTGGTGCACATGCAAGTTCCATGCTCTGACGACTCGGCTGGTTATAAGGTTATAAACTCCATTAGGCCTTTGTACCTGTATTTTCCATGAATAGGATTCTCAGGCTGGTTAAACTTACACAGCATCTAGCATGCACAGAACATTGGACACCTCACAGAAATAAGTTATAGCTTTGGGACCAAATTTTTACTCACAAGGAGCCCCACACTCCAGGCTTCCAACTGAGCATCTCCCATAACACCTCCTGTAGGGCTCACAGCAGTTGCAAGCTGACATGGCTCTCGTGGGGCTCCCCTCTGACAAAGCTCAGAGTTTAAAAGGGCAAAAGACAGTCTTCACTGAATACACAATTTGCAAAATATGCTTCTGTGATTCAAGGTGCTATATAAGCAAATATTGATGTAACTTAAAAATATCTTTTAATATACAGGATTTCAGTTGAATTTAGGAGAAGCAATTCTATCCCACTCCCACTGCTACATCTCACTTGTTTTAAGTGTGTGGTGTAAAATTTGTACAGGGCAATTAAGCTGTACGCAGGGGAACAAACTGTAGGGCAGTCATTTAATGAAAACCAGTATAAAAACCTCATGAAAGGAATGCTATTTTTTAAAATCAGACTTGCCCTGTGAAACTCAGTGCTACAGGATATTGGGACAGAGCTTAGCCAGATTATTTTTTTTTTTAAGTGTAGACTTAAATGAATAAAAATAAATTCTGTTCTGATGGAGTGCCAGCAGTAACATAGTTAGGCTACGACATGGTTTGGTTTTAATTGTACTTTAACAGCACTCTTGTGCTCAGTTAAGGAAAGCGATGAAGAATATGGGTCAGAGGACTCCTAAGGTTTTATTTTCATCTCCACCACTGACCTACTGCGTGATCTGGGGAAGCCACCATCCTTCTCTGCCTCAATTTTTCCAACTTACAGAACACCAAAACTGTCCTCCCTAAGGAAGAAAGTATAGGTAAAGAACAGGACTTGGCACTTGATGGGGCTGCACAACCTCAGAAAAACTACTAACAGAAGAATTATGTGGCTTAGTTAATTGATGTTAGAAAGTACTTTGCAGTTAACTTTCATACGAAGTTCCAAAAATAATATACTGGAAAAGGAAAGCAGCATTTTTTTCCTGATTTCTCAGATTTCCATCTTGTGTACTAAACATTACTCCCAACTGCAGTAAAAACAAAAACAACCCTGCAACAGCTGTTTTTTGTTTTGTTTTTTAATTTTCTTGCAACCACTTAAAACTGTCATAATATACCACAAACTTCTGTACACTCTTATTTACAGAGAAAGAAGCAAAATATTCATCCAAAATATTTTTAAAAACCTTTTGATTAAATTGCTATACCTATCAAAAATGATGGGAATAGATAGGCATATTTTCTTGTGCATACTTCTTCTCCATTTCATATTTCACTCTCAATGCATATATTATATAAAAATGAAAAAAGCAAGCAGGAAGGACACAAACACAATATGCATTTAAATTGGGTTTTGTTGTTGTTGGTTGGTTGAACAACAAGCAGCTAATTTAAAAAGGCAAAATATGGGAAAAGTGCATCGATTCCAATGATTTAGTATAAGAAAGAGGCCTATGCATGGTGATGATACTAGCCAGGATGGAGTCTCCCAGCAGACCTCTGATTGTCTGCAAAGGCTTTAACAGAAGTAAAAACAAACAAAAGAACAGGGAGGAGAAACATGAGACCTCAAGAGAAACACAGAAAATATCTTCCCATGAGGCTTCTTGGAAACTGGAGCTAGACGACTTCTGGAAGGGGCAGGTATTAATTTTTGCCTGGACTTCACAAACTCATCTATGCATTCACCCTGCTTGACCGAGAGCTCCAGCCTCACCACTAAAGCCAGATCTGCGTTGTTTTCCTCATGCTCAGCAATGCTGGAGACTTTCAGAGGTACTCATGAGACAGCAGAGCCAATCACAGGTGTCAGCTTGATTGTGCTAAGTCACTTAGATCCTCTGCTTCTGAAGTTTGTCAGAGTGAGATCTGCTGACTTCCATGGCTTAGGGCTCAGCCTCTCACCATTGGTGTCAGACTAAACAGACCACGTTTATCTTCTGATCAAACAATTCCATCTGCCGTGTGTGATATGCTGCAGCACATTGACAGATCCAACTTATGGTGAGCTAGAATCCAGCATGGAGATACTGGAGTCCCACCAATCTTATACTCCATTTTTGCTGGTCAGTTTTCAAATATGATATTAAAAAAAGGCAAATTACAATAATAAAGCTTATACTGTAATTAGTGTATCCAAGACCCACTCTAACCTTTCACCCATAAGGCTGCCTTCAAAAACAAGGCTATTTGTATGATTTGGGAAAAGTTAGGCAACACACTAAAATGTGGCTCAGCACATCATTAATTTGAAATGGAGTTTTCAACCAACATTTAAGAAGTCTTCAGACATACTCAGTTACATTGGCCCAGATCCTCAAAGGTATTTAGCCTCCTAACTTCCACTCATTTCAATGGAAGTTAAGAGCCTAAATACCTTTGAGGACTGGGCCTTTGTGCTTAGTGAATGTATTCAAAACTCACAGTAGGGCAGTAACCAGTCCTACAGCAGCTGGTTAGGAAGAAGCTATGTATAGTATCATATTTTTGGCTTTATGATAAGGTTACCTAATCCAGTGACTTTTCTTTTGCCAATGTACTTGCCTTGCTCTTTTGTCCTGAACACAACAGTGGGGTGGATTTGCGAAGGCATCCATTTCCTATCCAGTCTTAAACTGCAGAATTTGATGGGTTTGATTTGGCTGCCATCAAGATCTCATAAGCCAATCAAGCCTCATGCTAGTTATATATAAAATCTTTGTACATCATGTGGAAAAATGGAGTGCTAAGTCCTGCAAGAAATAAATATATTTATATTGCTTTGAACTTAGCAACTTAACAGTCCTCTCTTCTCTATATATATCATTAGAATTGGGAATAAGAAATCTAGCATCGAAGTCTGTCACCACAACAGAGAACTCTTAGTGTTGTGATAGGCAGAAATCTAAATTCTACACCTGAGTCCCATCAAACATGCTGTCTTTATCAAATCCATAAGGGTCTGGAAAGCTCATTGGCATTCTGTACCATCCCCAAATGTGAATGGCTTTCTACCTGGTTCCCCAGACAGTTACTTGCTTTTTTTTTTAAATGCTAGAAAAAAATTGGAAGTAGTTTTAGATCAGTATGATCAGTCGTGTACCTTTCCCTTTTTGGAAGGGTCTCTTTCCTTTCATCTCTGCCTGTTTGGGAGAGTCGGCTAAAAGCTGCTCTTGAACCTGGCAGTAAATGGGACATGTTCACTTGCCATCCAAGGGATGTTATAACATTCACATTTTTAGAGACCAAGCACCTCTCTGCTATGGGCTCATTTTCTACTAGTGCAGGGAGTACAATAAACCAGCCCGCTAATGAAATCTGCTTGCTCAACATGGCTAAATGTAGCCCCATAAGTAAATGCTATGCGGGTAGCACCCCAAGTTTTCTAAAGCTATGATGTGCTAAACTCAGACTGTATAATGCAGCCACTCAAGTTTATAATATTAAAAGAAGTGAGGGAGACAGGAAAAGTAAATCCTGTGCTCCTCAACTGGTCAGCCATGGAAGAGCCTCCTTTACCTCTGTATATACAATGAGTGGTACCTAATAAGGAGCTCATTTTCCTGTAGTGAAGATTCCCTAGAGACTTGCAAAACACCACTGCCCACCTCCCATGCAACACTTATGGCAAGTGGATACAGTATAATCCCTGAAGCCAGTTCAGGTCACAGCAACTCCTGCTGATGAAGATATGATTAGCCTAATGCCCAAGATTCACCCAACAAACTACTCAAAGCTATCTAATTCTGCAGAAACAAAGGAACTTCCATAGCATGTGAGCCTATTTCAAGTCATGTCAGTGTAAGATCAACAGATATAAGCCAAAATACCTCTTCGTATTGTAGATGGAAAAGGATCTTTTAAAACAGTATCAAATGAAAAGACCATCCATAGGCAATCCCCAAATATCCCCTTTAAATCTAGCAATAAAGACAGAGTGCATTTTCCCCAGGAAGTGAAGTGTACAAGAACATGTGTGCAGCATAGAAACATTATACACAAACAATGGAAAACATCCCTTTTGAAAACTCAAATAGAAGTGGATCCCATTGGGATCAGACTGCAAATGCCTTCCAAAGTGAGGCAGAAAAATCAGCCTATAAAACATGCCCAAGGTGACCTGTAGCTACTTCACTGGCCTCTGAAGCAGCTGACAAATGGAGTATGAAATTTATACTTTAAAACAAAACCCTAGACTTTGTGATAAAAAGTCTGTTAAATATCTCTTTATGTTTAAGTTCTGTACTTTTCTGACATCTACCTAAACACACCCATTTTTATCAGGAGGGAAATGCAGCAGTCTTGGCTACAGAGCTGTCAACAGAGTTTGGAGTCAGCTTTTCCTTCAATTAATAGAGGGCCTTGGAAACCTTGTTCTGTATGATCATCCAGTCTGATGTTGCCTGTTGGTCAAGTCTGTCAAGGTGAAGTGCCAAAAGTCACTTCATTTCCCCAAGGGAAAAATCAAGAACCAAAATTTCCATTATTAGATACATATTGGGAGGAGATTGGGACATGATTTCAATAAAAATATGTTTTAAACCTCGCTAGCTATGGATTGAAAAACAAAAGAAAGGAGTGTGCATCTCATTCTCAAACCTCCCCCCTCCCAAAGGGTACTAACTGTTAAATAGTTTGTCTTACATTTAGATTTTTATTTTAGGGTGGAGAAGGATTCTTTGGAATTTAGCACTTCTCTAAATATTTTTGCCTTGACTGAACTATTCCAAGGGACTTGCAGCAAAAGAAACCCTCTGCTTATCCAGAGCTGCTCTCAATGAAAGCTGCTTCACTGCATTCACTTCCCCTCAGTGTCTTGGATGGGCCAAGAATGGACACTAGGACAAGGTGAACCCTACACTTTTCAGTTTACAAAGGATTCCCTACCTGAACCCTACAGTTTGGTTCATACAACATCCTAGGAACTAAACCCAGTAGGCTTGCATGGAGCTCAGACTGCCTCTATGGCCAGCCTCTAGCTACCTTACATCTTGGAAGCCAATAAACATTTCTTTCCTGCACTGCCTCCTCAAATAAACTCCCTTAGCAAGCACCAGCATCCCCTACTTTCTTCAAGTGTCCTAGTGCCTGCCTCAGGGCTTTCTGCAGGAGTTTGAGTGGAGGGAAAAGCAGGGAAGGCATGCTTTCTGATTTCCCACCTGTATGTAAAATCTCGGCTCATGTTCCCCCAGACATTTACGAACACAGGCAGAGGTTGATGAATGCATAGAATCTGGAACTCAATGCTCCTTTTCAAGTGAGTCTGAGGTTTGATGCCATTTCACACAGCAGTATTAGACAGTAAGGTTGGCTCTGTTGCCCACTAAAAGCTTATGAAGAGAACAGCTGTACAGAGCTCCTTATGATGGCTATCTGATTCCATTCAGGCCTGACACGCAGTTCACCACTAGTGCAGCTCCACTGGCAGAAGTTAGTGTAGGCAGGGCTTAGTTTTCAAATCACTTTTGCCAAATGGCCTTCTCTGAGTCAAAAAAACCTGAGTCATGTCCACACTGCAGCTCCCACTCTTGCCTTCTCTGGTGGAGCTGAACGGATGGTGAATTTTCCTAGTTTACACATGGACCTGAGATTCATGTAGTGGGGGCAGGGAGAAGAGCAGCATTTAACATGCTCTGCTATGATCCCAGCTACTTTGTACAGGTAGAAAAGGGACAAAGAGATTCAAGCCATGTTTTTAAAAGATAGGTCCAGTAATTCTACCTGACAGCCAGGATGCAGAATAGGGAGCCCTTTCTCTTTCTCCCACCCTCAACAGGGAGAGAGAGAGTGCAAAGCAGTATATTTTCCAAACTCCTCCTAAGGAAAAAGATGATGCTCCTGAAGTGCCAAACAAATTTATGCTGTTTTCAGTCAAAGCTTTGGAACAGAGCTTACTTGGAGATCAGAACTCCATGGTGATAAGGTTCTGAGCTTTAGATCTCTCTAAGGAACAACAGCTGCTGTACAGCTACCAATGAACTTCTCAAAAGAATTAACCCCCTCCTATCCTCAGTAACCACTTTTACTGGGCAGGTGGCAGAGGTAGTTTAAAAAAAAAAAAAGAATCCAAAAACACTAATATAAAAGAAACAACTCTTGCTATACCGTACATTCAGAATCCTGTGGCCGCATTGTTGTCCTGACAATGAGCTAATTTAAATTAAAAAAGCGCTGATGTGTAAAGAGCACATCCCAAAGCCAGTGCTGTCTTAAAGCAAATGTTCTCTTTCAGAGAAAGGAAATGGAGTTCTTCTTGATTGGTTAGGAATAGGAAAAACATTTTCCAGTAGCTGCCTTCTCACTTACATGGCATCTGTCTCTCCTTTACCTTTTTTAATTCTGCACCACCAGAACTCTTGAAACATCTGTCTCCCTATAGGAAAGTTTCTGTAACCATTTTTAAAAAATTAAAAAAGACGTGATCAACAGAGTGAGAGACTCGTGTTCGCAAGCTAGCAGCCAGCTGGTAGGGTAGCTCCTATGTTTGATTGACATTTTGCTCCAGATGTTGTCTTCCTTCCCTCAAAGTGCAAAACTGTGGCTGAACAGATGTTTGTAGGTCAGCAGAACTGGAGCCTCAGTTTAACTCCATTTGGCTTTCCCTGCCAGAAAGGGAGGAGCATGTTGCTGCAGTTGTGCTTCCAAAGGTCCACTTCCATTTGGCCACCCCTCAGTTAGCAAACTGCTGATAAAAAGCAAGTTTGACCCTTTCAATGTGATGGCAAAGTTTAATGGCTGGCCCAAGTTTCAAGTCCATGCACTCCTGAACAGTGGGGAGGGTGAGCAGGAGAAGCGCCTGACCATCTATTTCCTGTCAGGAGACAAACAGAACATTGATAAGGCAGAATTAGTTGCTCATTTACTCCCATTCAAATTTTGGCTTCCTTAAGTTTCAGCTCATACCCCTAGGAATTTGCTCTTTCACTTGTGCTGCTTCACTTAGCTAGAAATCTCCCTCTCATTACCTACTTGCTTCCTTCCTTCCTCATCTTGAAGTGCAGGTCCATTCTAAATTGTCTAAATAAGGTATCATATGGTTTCATCCTTACTGTCTCAATGGTTCCAAAGAAAATGTATTCAGTTTACAAGTAATGGTATGTTCCCCCCTAATTTCTAGCCGTGCAAACTCAATCTGTGTTCAGAGAAGCAATCTGGGTTGTGTTCTCATGCATCCCCACACTGTAATACAGGTTGTGCAGGCCAAATTACACCCTCAATAACACCTACAGCCTTCATATTATGCCCTTAGCAAAATTCGTGTTCACCACCCAGGAGGGGCAATTTGTAGTACTGAGCACTTAACAGGCAAGACTGCAAAATCTACCTTTGAAAAATAGATGTAATACAAAAAAATACATTAAAAGGATTCTCACTTTTGTGCTGTGTTTTTGATACCCTCTTAAATATGCATTAAAGTTTCTTGCCCTAATGACTCCCTGTGATAAACAAGGCTGAATCCCCACTCTGTCACTTCGAGTGCAGAAAGTGGGGGCCCGCAAGGATTCTAAAAATTAATACTTGCCACTCCAGGCTTGTATTAAACTCTGAAGGATACAGCTTTTCTCTGACCTTGGCTTGGTAAACGCTGCCATCACCCAAATGCAAACCCAGGAGGAGCACTTGGGAATTCCTCCCTGTGGGGTACCCTCAAGCCCTTTCACCCCCTCCAGGGAAGAGCTGAGAAAGAAAACGAAGGAGATTAGCTGTGGCTATCAGCTAATCCAACAACATGCACAAACCTCTTAGGTCACCAAAAATCCAATCCTGTTCTTAAAAAAAGTAAATTTTATTAAAACAAAAAAAGAAAATACATCTGGAACGTAGGCATTTGCTAGATTTTAAAAGAGCAATTCCAAAAATTAAGCGCTCAAACTAGCTTCTTGGGGGTTTAGCTTAAAGGTTACAAGCAAACAAAAGCATCAGCGGTTAGCACAGAGGAGAGCCACAAACCAAAATAAGAAATAAACCTGATAGTGTCTAACTAAACATTCCCTATTCAAATTATTTCTTCTAGCTATGGAAAATACTTTTTCATACCTGGTTCAAACCTTACACAGCATTTCTGCTGCTCTGTGTTCCTGCAGCCCAGAGAACAACAAAGGGAAAGTTTTTTTCCCCTATTTAAAATAGTTCTAGACTTCCCATTGGCTCTTTTGGTCAGATGCCCACTTTTTTTTTCTCCTTTACCTGGGGGACTTTAACCCTTTACAGGTAAAGCAAGTAAAGAACAGGTACCAAGAGGGATTCTACAGCTAACTGGCTGGCTGGGTGTCCATCAAAGGGAGCTATCCCGCACTTTATTTATCACACTCCCTCTTTGTTAGTGCATCAGCAAAGCACTGTGTGATGCCTGGTAAAATAAATATTTAGCAGTCTCCAAACTTTAAGGTTTACAAAGCACTCTGCAAGTGTTATTTATAGTAAATGGTACAATATTTACAAATCATTTGATATTGGGAGTGCTATTTGGGTCAATATAACAAGCTCTATATCCTCTTTCAAACAGGCCACTGAATTCATTGTGACCTGTTCTAGTTGCTGCATATCAGTTTTCTCCCAAGTCAGTTTTGGAAATCAAATGCATCACATAGCAAAACATTCAGCAAGCAATGGAACATAATCGAACGCCTCTATTCTAGAACGAGCTGTAAGAAACAAAGTGTAAAGTTTTTTGCCATATCAAAAACATTATAAAAACTGCAGTAACATTTTTTTACCCTTTAGTAATTAAAACTGGTTTCATGTGGTCAGTCAATCAGCAGATAATGCAGCAGAAGGTTCACGTATTTTAAAAAAAGTTTTGCATACCTGATCCAGGAAAATTCTGGCTAACGGGGCGCAGTCTGTGGATTTGAGGAACCGCACGACGTCAGCCACGCTCCATTCCAGAGGGTTACTGTCCAGCTGCAGCTTTTCGGCAACTTCAATCTTTATTTCCTAACCCACCCGCCCCCACCCCCAACCCCAAAATGTTATATTTGCCATGTCCAAAAATATTGCCATGTTCACATAGCATGTTCCTAAAATAACTCTGAACTTGAGAGGCAGCATAGTCTAGTGGAATGCTAAGAATCGGAAGTCAGGAAGTGCTGAGTTCTAAAATCCCAGCTCTGCCAACAGCTTGCTGTGCAGCTTTTGGAAAAATTCCCAAAACTCGTTATTTTACATTTTTTAAAATTGGGGTAGTATCCTCTCCTCCCTCCCAGACAAGTTGTGAAGATTAGTAATATTTGTATGCTGCTTTGAGCATGGGAAATGCTAGTCCCCTCACGTTCATGGTCCCTGCCTGACACCAGGCATGGTGGTGCACAATCTCAGGCTTTTACTGGATTTCTCTCTGCTCTTGGATTCCCAGAGAGCAGCAGGGCATGAAAACACTTATTTTTGCACGGCCAGGAGAATTCATCTTTCCCATTCAGATGCAGAACTCCCCCTGGTTATCACTGTATCTCACTAGAAGTCTAGACTAGCATCACATACAATACACAAGCAAAACCTTAGCTGTGTAACCTTGGCAATATTAGGGCAAAGTAACTTTCCAAATGAATAGACTGTTATGAGATGATCTGAGAATATGAGGTTACCATTAAGGTTGTGTGGAAGTGAAAGTTGTGGTATGTATTGCTTTTCAGCCTGTATTGGAGATGGAAGTGAAAACTTTATGGAGTGCTTCTGGTAGCATTTTAAGCAATCTGACAATGGCACATTGGACCTTCTTATTTTCATGCTACGTAAGCTTTGGGTGGGTCCTGATACAATCAAAATACATTTCATTACAGTTATGTTAATTTTAAGTTTTAATAATTGCAGACTCGAGCTCTGAAGGAACAGTTTGGTACAGCAGCAGCTTGTCACTTCATCACAAATAGGCGTTTTTATTTTTAAGAAATACCAAAATTTGCTGATAATTTTGGTAATAATTTTCAAAGCTAGGATCCTCTTACAACAACATTTTGGCCTTGGCTGAGTGAATAGACTAGTCAGTAAGCTCATCACAGCTGCTATATTACCCCCTTTAGAGCCAACATTTGCTCTATCAACCTTCTCCTTGCAATTCAAGGAACGTCACCTTTGCATTTAGCACTGGGAAGACAGGACACAGAGTGCTCCAGGTGTACATTGGAAATTAAAAGCAACTTTCAATCAGGATGATGAGTGAAATTCACAGCAAACTGCCAAATGGAGGAAAATTCTGAATTAATGGTATCTCCCTCCCCACGCCTGAGGAAGTGACCAAACCACTGAGAAAGTAAGAAATTTTGTATTTTAAGAGGTACCTTTGGTGAAGGGGGTTTATTTTCATCATCAGAGAAGGAAAAGGTCCGGAGCTTCCTCTTCCGCTTGTCTTGATCCTGAGCCAGGCAGTGGGACAGTTCACTTTGTGTGGGAGAGGAGGACCGTGATTTCTTCTCCGACACTTCTGACTCTTCAAGCAGTTCATCTTGCTGCTCTGAGGTGCTGTCCTCACTCAATGATTCTTCATCTATGTCATCCTGGTCATCCTCTTCCTCTCCCCCACTGCCCTGAAGGAGAAGAGAAATAATAAATTTAGAATGGGAAATTTAATACATAAAAGTCCTATGATAGTCTCTGATCTTTACACTCCCAATTGCATGCAGTGCTATTGTAATGATTTTGGTCCCAGGATATTAGAAAGACAAGGTTGGTGAGGTAATATATTTTATTGGACCAACTTCTGCCACTGAGAGAGACAAGATTTTGAAAGATACTACCTCAGCCACTTCGTCTCTCTGATCTACAGTAACTTTTTGGCTGCACAGAGTCTAAAGGAACTGGAAACTGCCTTGGTGTTGGAATAGGACTCTGCACAGCCAATCTATGAACATGCACTGTACTGTGCAAGTTGCCTGTAGCTACATACCTGGGGAGATCCAACTGGAGAGTTGTCCACTGAGGTGGAAGAACGTTTTTTCTTATGGACAAAGAAGTGTTTTCGTCTCTTCCTCCTCTTGCTTGGTTTCTTCATGACTGCTTCCAGATTACTGTGGCCACCTGGTGGTCGGCCAATCCTTTTGTTTTTCCTCTTCCCATAATAGTGTGCTACACGGACAAAAGCAAAGGTTGTGTGCTTCACATGCACTGTGTTGCAATGGAACTTCAGCATCATTAGTTTTCACTTATCAGCCCTCAGGAATGCAGAATCATTCACAGAAAGCTTTCCAACAGAAATCCCAACTGTGGAGAACATCAACATGAATGGATCTATTCTTTCCTTCAATACAATACATCAAGTACGCGTTTATTAATAAAGTTAATCACCCAAAAAAGGGAGATTATATTTCTTTAGTTCTGAGAAAGGCCTCAAATGAACAGTTTTTGGTGCAAACAATGTCATCAGCTATAGAGTGGCAGATGGTGGTGATGGGGTTCTGCAGGATTTGGCATGGTCTGTACAGATTTATTGAGATGATGCACAATCTACTCTCACTGTGGCCAGGAGTTCAAATTAGTAAAAGACATTATAGAGCAGCTTGTTCTAAAGCAGAGTGGCAGGAGTGAAATAACTTTTAATGAAAGTATCCTGGAATCAGTTTTTGTCCTAGAAATCAGCAGCAGGAATTAATACAACATTATGCAGAATAGTTAATAGTTGGTTTTATGATGTTGCAGTTCACTGTTAGATAATCATTGTTTTGATCCAAGATATGGGTATCTAGGTCTATATCATTAGCATTTGGGCTGCTCATCAGGGTGAATGAAGTGATATACAATTTGTAACACACTTTGAGATCCTTCTGGATCAAAGGCATTGTCTAAATGAAGATCATTACATTGGCAAAAAACCCTGGTATCTACTCACTGTATTTGGTCTTTGTCAGGACAGAGCAGTTCTCTGAACACTTATCTAGCACCATCTGTGGGCCAAAGAGATTTGGACAGCATTCCAGTTTGATGCAGGTTGTTCTACAGAAATCTGCCACCCGATCTGCTGTTCTCACAACCTCCACAGTGGCACGGTAACTCTTCCCTTTGTACCTGCCGTTGGGAGAATATCATCATATTCTAGCTGGTCCTAATACTGTTATTCACTATGATAAATGTGCTATATTAGATTATCAATATCAGACATTACATATTCAAAATAAGTTTGAAGAGAGCTCGTGAAGGTTTTTATGATTGTTGATCAAAGCCCAAGTCCTCCCTTTAGCAACATAAAATGACAGATGCACATGTGAATAAATATTAACAAGCTAGTACAGCAAGGGCAATTGCTGTGCCAAGGTTCTGCACATTGCCCTGCTAGTATGTTTCCAATATAATTTGGAAGAAATATTCCCATAGTTTATATGGGCATGGAGACTAAACCATCTAATCTAAGATGGTAATGCAAAAATTGCCAATTAATGTCCATTGGCATGTAGACACCTGCTTACTAGGATCTGGACTGACTCCACCAACTCACTGCAGAGGCCACTGAACAGCCATTAAATGGATAACTTACAGCCCCTAGTGAACTCAGCTACAGTTGGCAGGTTATCTGGATGTGGAAAGCTATACATCACCTTACCAACCCCCTGTGCCACCAACCACTCTTCCTCACCTACTCAGCAACTTATCAAGGAATGGAAAGGCTAGGAACACCATGGCTCTATGTGCCAGAATGACAGCTTCTCTTTTGACTAAAGACAACAGATTAATGTTTTCCCTGGTGCCAGTGGACAATGAAGCAATAAGAAAGGGCATCTTCTATTTGTCCACTAGCAAATATGACGCAGACAGATTTTATGGAGGAACTACATGTTGTGGGGGTGTTGTGTATAGCTGAGTCAAGCATCATTCCCTAGCTTTGCTTTTTTAGTACATCCAGTGGTATATGCTAGTGAGTCTATTGGGGATACCTCAGACCACAGTTCTTCTACTTAGAATTGCATACTGTCCCTAAAACCGGAAACATGGAGAAAAAACAGGCAGTGATTTTCATAGGTAGCCTGCCCACCCATCTCTGACCTCACTGTTATATCAGAAGAATATATTTAATAATTGCAATAAGCCACTCAAAACTGACCTTTCCTTTCTCACACTATTTATTTTATTTACATAAGCTTTTCTATGGACTCATCACTATATGTGAGAACACAGAACTCCCACGAGGTAGGTAAGTATGTCCATTTTACAGATGGGGAATGGAGGCAATGAGAGAGTTAGTGACTTGCTTAAGGTCATGCAGTAAGTCTGTGGTGGAGCTGGAAACAGAATCCGGATCTCCTGGTTGGGTAGAAGTCCAGTGCCTCAACTACAGGACCATCCTTCTTCCCTTTTGGGTAGTTAACCAAGTGGCTCAAAATTGCTGGGTTTAATAATTATATTATGTTAACATTATCACAATATTCTTTCAGTGTGGTTCCTAGCCACATATTGGTTTCTCAGTAATAGTGAAATCATGGACCAGTAAGGCCCAGCAGGAACACTGGGCAGCATATTTGCATCAAAAATGTAAAACGGATTCCCCAACCAAGGTCTTCCCAGTGTTTGACTCCAGCTCTGTAAATAGGCTAATATTTAAAGGGAAACCTTTTTCCACTATGGAATTTGGCTGAAGGTGCTGACAGCCTGAAAACCTTCCCTGACACTTTCAAAGCAGAAACACAAAACTATCTTAAAATTACAAATCTTTTACCCATTTGCTGCTGATCTGCTAGTGCACACGCCATGTTGTACTAGTTACTCCAGTAATACTACACTGAAATCAAAGTAGTATCAGAGCACACCTGATACAGTAAGCAACAACATACCAGCTGCACTCTGCTGGATGTTCCTGAAACATTTTGCATGAGTTGGAGGGTTAAGTTTTGCAGTGTCCTTATTTGTCTTGAACAAACCACATGTCATTTTCCTAAAAGGCAAATAGTTAAACCAAAAATGTAGATAGTAGAAGATATTACTACTGGGATCAGTTGGACTGGGACGTGGGGCAGGAATTTACTTTGCTTTCAGGGTCTCTCCATGCCCATGCCAGGCAGCATCCTCATCCAGCTGGAGTTCTCGAAGGACACGGCTAGGTTTGTAGGCTGCATTGATCAATAAAGTGAGAACCTGCAAATGGAAATGAAAAGAGGAGAGAAAAACCCATTAGGTTATTCGTACAGTAAATATGTTTTAAAGAGCTAGAGTGGATTGGCAGATTAATTCCATTTATCTGAATTAACCAGCATCAAACCACTACTATCTGAGATTTAAACTCATTCATAGTGGGATTTGGGAAAAAAAGCAACTGCTTACATGATAAATCATAACAGACCGTAAGTAGGGTCTTGCCAAGTCTTCAGAATTTGACTGCCAAAAGGATTACTGATTTCAGCAGCTCCCAGAAATTTTTGGAGATTCACTGTCCTTATCTCATATCACCCAACTTAATTCAAGGGTAGACATTATAAAGCTCAGGCAGTCCTGGGTAATGCCAGTGACATTTTGCTGCCTATGCATGCTACTTCATTCCTGAGCTTTTACTATTAATCATGTTTATTATGGTAGTTCCTAAAAGACAACCAAGAATGCCATTGTGCAGGGCATTGTACGAAGAATAGTAGATGGCCCTCCCCAAAAAAGCTTGTAATCTAAATAGATAAGACAGACACTGGGTGGTAAAAAGGGTATAATTCTGGGTATCACCCAAGGGTATGGTCCTGTGTAATCAATGATTTCTTGGCTGTGGAATCAGCCATGTGCTACAGAACAGGGCACCACAATCTAAGGTTTCATTAAAAAAAAAAAAAAAAAAAGGTTTCAAGCCTTTGTTGCAGTAATCATCTGCTCACATTTGCAATTTTATCAGTGCAGTGTTGCCTTCCTGATTCTGCAGACAACCAGAATAAAGAGCACTGAGAAGTGCTAGCAACCTCATGTCAGTGGGGTGTTAATCACCTTGACATTCAACCCATCTTTAGGTTTCATAGTTAACTATTTTCACGCTAATCTTTTTAGCAGAAAGATCTAGATAGGATGCTTATTCCTACAGTCCCAAACCACCTCCAAACACATCCCCAGGTGTCAAAGGCCTCAATTTGCCAAACCTCCAGCTTCACCCCATCAGCTTCCACAAGGCGATTATATGCATCAGCTCAAAACTCAGACACATCAAAAACTAAAAAGGAGGGGCAGCTTAAAATATATTGAGCATATCAATATAAACACAAGGGCTACTATATTGATTGTAGTATTTATTTTCGTAATTAAACTCCTGGATGGATTTTCAAAGATGCTGAACACCTGTAGCTGCTACTGACTTTGGTAGGATTTGTGGGTATTCATCAGCCCTTCTGAAAGTCAGGCCTTTTTTAATTTAAACGAAGCTGCCACAGAATTTCCAGTCTGCCACACTGGGAGTACTGCAGAATCCAGAAGCCTTGCTGTATAGATAGGCTCAGCTTGCTGTGGAGTACCCTGAGCCTTGCTCGAAAGGACTGTAGAAGTCCACAGTGAAGCAAATTAAACTATTCAATTCACCCTCTACAAAATGAAACATCTGTATCAACATAGCATAGAATCTGATGTGGGAAGAGGTAGCAACATTTGCAGTTTAACAAGCGAAGAGACAAAACAAGGGTGATTACTCCTAGAAAGGTTGCAAAAGCACCTCCACAAAGGATCTTGTGCAGTTGTACCATATTCTGTCCACGAGAGAACACCATTTCTCTAGTCAATGAGCACAAAAGCTACTACTTAAAAAAAAAAAAAAAATTAATGACATTTAACATGCAACAAAGGTCCCTCCCAGAGGCAGCTTCTATAATCTGGTGCTTTCTCACAGGAATACAGATTTGTCATGACAGATAAAACCAACGGTTTATCAAAGCCAGAATCCTGCGTTGGGCAGTTGCTGATGCCATATGCTTCAAAGGAAGATGACTCCTGTGCCCCCATAATGCTGCCTGGCCAACTGTACAACATAAGTTACAATGAACTATTTCCCAAGCCTCATGGCAGTCACCTTAAACCCAAAGCATACAATTTGATTATCTTTAACCGGCTTAGCTGCAAATTTATTGAGGGTATTAGTTTATCTAACTCTGAAAACTCAGCTACAGTATTCACCTATGGCTTACTCTTTTTTTCCCTCCAGTTCATGCAAAGTGTTTACACACACAAAGTTGCTCTGCATCAGAAAAACGTACATTTCTGCAGTGGTGCAGCTCTACAAATGCTAACAATAGTAGAAGCTGTAGACGGGGTTCAGGTCTTTTGACCACCATGTTGTCTGTCACCAAAGGACAGGAAAATGCTTACAGATTTTCCTAGCGTATGCAAGACTACTGTGATTTTTATACATGGCATGGTTTGAATTTTCTATTAAAGTCAAACTCAGAAGTGGTTGTCACAAGTGGCTTGGTTGCCAAAAAGTCTTCCCTATGACCTTTGCTTCCTGATTGTTGTTTGATGCAATAAAGCAGAGGACTGAAAGTTAACTCCACACTTAACCCACATTCTGTTCATTTTGGGAGAATTGTACTGAAGTGGGGAAAATATTCTAGAGGAACTTCCCAAGAAAACATTCACCATTTCATTTCAGGAGATATTGCACCCCAGACATATTGCTGCGGAAAATTCAGCAAAATGACTATTGTCACAAGGGACATTTTCATGTAATTTGCTGTGTAATATTTTCTTGAAACGAGGCAGTTTTCAATTGGAAAATGTCTCCATTTTCACTCACAATGCTCCGTGTGAGTGAAAAAGTCATGAATCTGGCAGATTTGCACAGACATAGGCCCAATTAAGTCCCTGCAACAAAATACAAAAAACTATTTTAAAAGAGAGCTTTCCCATTCAGTTGGGAATATTTTGCACCACTCTACTTTTTTTCATAGGACAGAAACCATATTTCACATATTCCAACACAACACAATAGAAGCTTTTTGGACTGCTTGAAATGCCTTTTTTTTTTGTACAAAAAAAAAAAAAAAGAAAAAAGTGCTAAAATACTATGAACTAATTGGACGTTATAGGGATTTTAATAGGGCTGAACTATTCTAACATCAGCTGGTAGTTTTCAGTAATGTTAATTAGGGTTTACTTGACATAAAAATAAGAAATGCAATAATAATGAAATGATTATATCTCTGGTGGATCAGAGGTATTTTACCACATCTCTAACCACTCAATACCTTATGCTTAATTTTAGACAAGAAACAGAACACTCACCAACAATAATCATTCCCTTATTCAGTGGTTCCTAAACTTTTGTACTGGTGACTTCTTTCACATAGCAAGCCTCTGAGTGCGATCCCTTCCCCCTTATAAATTAAAAACACTTTTTTATATATTTAACACCATTATAAATGCTAGAGGCGAAGAGGGATTTGGGGTTGAGGCTGACAGCTTGTAACCCCCCCATGTAATAACCTCACAACCCCCTGAGGGGTCCTGATCCCCAGTTTGAGAACCCTTGCCTTATATTGATTAGTCCATTACCTATCTCTAATTAGAGAGTCACTCTGGAGTTTAATATGCAGTACTGTACACACAGCCACACACTCATAACCCTCTCACCTCTTTAAGGACAAGAACGCAGTTCCCAGGTCCCACAGACTGAGGCAGCTCTGCAATTCTCCCTTTGTTAAGGTAAGGTCCTGAGAAGCAACGGTGGTTGAAGTAGATCTTTGGACAGCAGTACTTTCCATTAATTACAACTGAGAAATGAAAATCAGCAGCAAAGATTTAGATCATGCAATGCAATCTCTCCAGCCAAGACTGGCTTCTTGAAAAGTTTAATATTTTGTAAAAAAGTTTAAGCCACATACATTTTGGGAGTTAAAGTGTCACATTTGCAACGATAGCATTGACTGTAATTGATGCTGCTGAGATGTACTTCTTATATTTTACATGCATACTCACACCCTGTTTATGTATTGGCAATATAACCATATCCATATAACAAAGTGACCCCAAAACAGATCCAGTCATAAAGCTCTGCAATTTATCATGAGCCTTTGATTGCCCACCTCAGTTGTGCTCTCCCAATGATCCATTCCCTGCAACTACTTCTAACATTCTAAGCAGCAAAAAACACTTGAAAAAAAAATCAGCAAGAGAAAGGTTGCCTCCTTTTCCTACGAAGAGTCAGTATTCTGAGGCCCATAACAGGGAATATTCATTCCCAGACCAGTTACAGCCTTAGGGTCACATGTATTCTTATCTAGGCTAGAGATGGGAGTTTCATGCCATTAAAAATGGCATATTACCAACTTTCCACTGGAATACACAGCACTTTTTTGAGCCATAGAATTTTTGGAGAAAGCAGACATAAGAATTTACTATTTTAGGTCATTTTTAAAAAGGTTCCAGAATACATAGGCTTTCAAAAGCCTTACACTAGATAGAGTAAATAAGGTACCTGACTTTTGCATATCTGTCTGCTTCTAGTTACCACCAATACAGTTTAAGAGGTTTCTTGAAAAGGGCTAGAAGTATATGATACAATCACATGAAAAGCAGGCAGTTTCCCTTTCCAAAAGGTATAAAGCACACATTTCTAGTCCTGATGGAAAATACTGGAGCTTACCGCTAGTCATTGGTCCTGATCACTTGGTGTCAGAGACCTATGGCCATTGTCATTTTGGGGAAATTTAATATTGTTCAATGTGGGGAAAGTGGAAGAGGGAGGAGTTGAAAGGGGATAAAAGGGAATGTCAGGAAACATTTCTATGGCAAATTTATTACAAAAACATAAAACACAAGCTGGCTATTTAAAGTTCTTCATATGTTTGAAACATTGGAAGTCCCAGTGGAGGTGGATTTGAGGGCATTATACTGGTGAAATGGGCACAGAAGTATGACAAACCTACACTAGTGAGTGGCTCTGCAACATATGGTATGAGATTATATATTACATCTCTTGCAAGTCTATGACCTGCACTCATGCTATCTTCTTCTGGGAAGGTGTCAGAAGAAGCAAGGCAGGGTGAGACCGGGTCAGACCACAAAGAAACTCCACCGTACTGAAGGAAATGGTGCTGGTGATTTAACAGGAGATATTCTCTTCTTCTAAGTAAGCCTGATTCTAAGGGAAACTATGCAATTGGAGGGGGAAAAAAACAAAGGTCCTAGCCACTTGATATAATTGGAGAAGATTAGTAATTCAAGCAGAGTCCTCGACAAATTTCAAGTCCAGTAATTACTGCTCCCTAAATTCTCCTTGCAGTTTCAAGCGGAAAAACTATTTGCTACTTCCTAACCTAAACTGTTGTATAATATTGCTTTGCATTGTTAAACTGCTATTTTTTCACCAGCAGTTGCTGCACTTTAATGTTGGATGAAGTAATCCTTGTTTTTAGTTTGCATGTCAGTTAAAGTCTGTAAAACGCCTTGGCATCCTTCAGAATTTAAGCTGCTATATATCAATATATTTATGGATGTATAAATATAAAAATAAAGTCATTTTACTCTAGTAGTCCTATAATTTTGATTGAAAAGCACTTTAATCTAAAAAGGCCCTAATTCCAGTGGTTTATAAACTGATAAACAGATGAAATCATATTGACATTATATCTCCATTTTAAAACCAATTAATATGCAAAGTGGTACAATCTTAGACATGCATTTACTGTGTGGGAAATAGAGCAATTTAGGGTTAGATACTATGCGGCTAGAATTGTATAGCTGTTTCATCAGCAGATGTACTTATATACATTCTTTCAACACTTCAGAAAATGAGTAGATTTCGCCATTTGGCACATGAGTTATTTTACACTTTGAACAGTCTTGCTTTATAGTGATGATCAAGTTATCACAAAGACAAACAAACCTGCACATCAATATAGTATTCTAACAGTTCAGTGTGGAATATGAAGTGTTTGTTATAACAGCCCAACCCAAGCGCCAGAGTTTTATGCATCTCTCTCAATATTATTTTAATGCATTTTTTGCTGGGGGATGCTTAGACATTAATTTGACAAGAATTTCCTTCTCACACACAGCATATGGGATTTACTGGTATGCATACCAGTTATATAGCTTAGAGGAAAGTGTTTTGCAATTGGGTGGGTGGTTATTAAGACTAAATATTTCGGCTCCAGGTGCTCCCAGCACATCCATTGGTGGGAGAAAAGATTAGGTGCTACAATAATCCAACTTCCAGCATCAAGACATGTTCTCATTGTACCATGTGCAGCATTAATTGTATGCTGTTACCAAGTTAAATCTTCCTTGCCATTTGAAAGATTATCCCTCAGAAAAGTTTTTACCCTATTGTACTAATTCAAGACAGGTGAAGTTATTGAGCAGCTAGACAATAATGCCATAGAGATACAGAACTCTCCTACCTTCTTAACCCAACAAACAAGACCCTTACCTGAGTCAGTGGAATTCAGTTCCTGGTTCTTCAGCCTCTCATGGACAGTCCTTGAAGACAAAATTCTGAAATGGAGAGAGGATGTTGGGAAGAGACCAAGGTTGATACATCAACATCCAGATTGCAAAAAGGCGAGGTCCTTTCTCACTCCCAATTTAGTGTGTCAAGCCTATGGTTTCAATTATCTTTGTAGTATTTAATGACTTTTCTCAGGCTGTAGGAAGAGCCAGTTGTGTTGATCTAGCTCAGCTCTATGCCAGTGGTGTTCTTCCCTTGTTTGAAAAAGCCAGGTGTGTCAAAGGTGCATGGTAACACAGCCCACTCCACCATGGAGACACCATCACAGTTTTTACATTTCACATGTTTGAAAAGATGTGGATTCAAACAAAAACTAAAAAACACTTCTAATGGTCCCATTTAAAAAAACAGGTGGCTTGGCATGTTAGGAAAGTCTATTTTACTGAAAACAATGGACCAAGTATTGGGATGTCCAACCATGTAAAATCTGATACCTGCAATGATATCAAGGTCAGCAAGACTAACTGTATCACTGTGAGTGTCACTTGAACAAGCTCATGCTACATAGTTTTACAAAACCTTTGAAGATGAGAACACAAGGATGGTCTCTATTTGAACTATTTTTTCTCCCATTTTCCATCTGGTAAGCATCTCATGTAATACAACTCCCACTCTGGAAGAACACACTAGCTGCACACTATTTGAATGAGAGCTCTCACATGGAACAGCTGAACGTTCCCATCAAATAATGTGGAAATCTCAATTGCACAACAGAACACTAAGGAAGTCAGATTCTGTTCCTCAGAGCACATGTACACTGCACTCACATTAACACTAATGAAGGTGGCTCTGTGCTCTGAAGGGAGAATGAATCTGAAAATGAACTGAAAAGAGTTGAAGCAATCATCCCAACTCAGGATAACCACTACAATAGTTCAAAGCTTCCATAATGAAATCCACATGATGACAATGCTGACAAATATTTTTAGACAGCAAAAAACCCTAAATGTCCTCCAATACTGGAAGATCGCTCAGCTTCTTAAAACAAGGGATGAAGCAACAACTAAAATCTCAGAGTGAAATGATCTATTAACCATCAGTGCAGTCTATATGCACTAAACTGTTAAAACCACAGCTTCCCACTCAAAGAGTGTCCCTGAACAGTGCTGTAGCTCTCAATTCAGAAGGGCAGAGATTGTTTTTCAATATCAGTGGGAATTAAGTATAGATATAAACTCAGGCCCGACAAACTTCACTGTCCCTTTTCTATGAAACCAAAGTTGCAAATACAAATCACCATCCACACTGATTATAATAATAATAAACTTGTTACTTACTGTTTCTCTGGTTGAACCACAGCAATTTTCCTCTGTTTGTTCACTGTAAATCCGGATTGGGGTGGGGTCGGGGGAAAGGAGAAGAGAAAGGATTTAAAATAAATAAATAAATAAATAAAGCCAAGCAAGTTAAACTTCCATTACAAAATATTTTTTATGGCATCACTTCCTCTAAATTTTAAGCCAAAGGTATCTACATGCAAAAATTGCTGCAATCATTTAACAACTGACACAAGGTTTATACCAAAACAACAGAGAGTATGGTTGACTCCTCGTTGTTTTTGTTGATACAGACTAACACGGCTACCCCTCTGATACGAGATTTATACCAGTCATCTGGGCTGAGATTATCCAAAAATGTTTAGGGGATTTGCATGTCCAATTTTCATTGAAATTAATGAAAGTTGGGCATCAGATCCCCTAGCCAGCTGTAAAAATCTCAGCTTTTGTGCACAGAATTATCTTCTTCACAAACTTGTATGTTTCAGGCCACCCATCAAAGTATGTATAACAACAGCCAAAAATAAATAAATCTGCATGACTGCCTTCTCTCACACCCATCAATACTGTGGTATTTGAATATTTTACAGGTCTAACTGGGCAATCTAATGTCACCAAGAAGTTCTAGACAAGAAGATGTTACCAAGATAATGCTGTGAAGTTATATAAAAATAGCTACATGTTAAGTGCAGTATTCAACTACCAATACAGGTTACAATCCAGGCATTTGCTACAGTGAAAACAATTCTGCTTTAACAGAAAGACAGACACATGGATTTGGTGAAACATGGACCTACGCTTGTGCTTGGAGGAGCTAGATACCTCGAAGAACTGTTCAACAGAGTGATGAATTTAAAGCTACATGGACTGACTGATAGATCATGTTTGAGATTGCTATGTATTCTATACACAAACTGTGTTGCAATCAAGAGTACTGTTGCTGGGGGTCACCCCTGTGATATGCCCCTTGCATTACTTTAAATCTCATTCTGAACTGACTAGAAGGGTTGTACGCTGCCTGTACTACTGTATTCCTAGTCATTTTGCATTGCATAATACATATGAAGTATATGAATGTACAAGTTTGTACTGTGTCTCACTTTTCACCCCACCCCCTATAACTAAAAGATTCCTAAAAATATTTCATGTTCATATTTTATGTAGACACTAGTAATTGCATACATTTTAAAAAATGAGATGACACTTTCATTTGTAGTTTCATGAAGTATGACGAGATAATTCTGCAGTAGATGCACTTATTAGAGCTTCAAAGACCTTCCATCCCCACCTTGACTGCTAGCAATTACAAAGAGAACAGAACTGGTACCTATTGCTCTGCGAGGAGGTCTGAGCTGGTATCCGTTGGTCTCACACCAACCCACTGGAAATATATTCATCGATTCCACACTCACTATGCATTCAGGAACTGGCCTTTTGGAGCCTGTTCAGTTAAAAGAAGCAAAATGTAACCGAAACAGCAGTTTTCAAAATTCTGTATTGGGACCTGCTATCTGTATGTCAACATGACTGCAAAATAGTGCCACTGGTTTAGTATTTTCCCCTTCCTTCATTTATCAGCAACTATTTCCTGATTTCATTTGTTCACTTCTAAAAGCTGGAAAAGAAGGAGTTTGTCATCTTTCATTCAGCAGAGAGCACAAGACATAGTAAATGCACCTTGATGTTCTTTAAATAAAATCAAGGGGGGCATGGATCAGTGTTCACGTGATGCTCCTAGTCAGTACCCAGCCCAGGCCAGGGAAACTAATGATTCAACTAGAAGACCAAATCCAGTGATGAATCCTAGTCACGTGCCACTTGAAGCACGTTGTGCATACGCCAAGAAGTATATAGTACAACCTCGCCGTTATGGATACCACAGGAATGGAGGTTGTCTGTAACTCTGAAATATTCTGTAACTCTGAAGAAAAGGTTATAGATGTCAGCCACATGGGAGGTTGGGACTGCAGCCACAAAAGGGGAGGGGGGGAGGGTTCAGGACTCCGGGCACGGGTGGGAGTCAGAGCTTCAGACCCTTGGGGCACCAGGGCTCAGGGAGGGGGGCTCAGGGCTTCTGCCCCACGGGAGCACTGGGGCTCAGTGCTTTAGACCTGGGGGGAGCACTGGGGGGGGGGGGAGGGGAGGACCACACCAGGGCTCGGGGCTTTAGCTATGGGTGGGGAGTGCTGGGGCTGAAACTGGTGCTCCCCTCATAGCTAAAGCCCCAGCACTCCTTACAGGGCTGAAGCCAGGAACAGAGCCATAAGGCTGAAACCCTGAGCCCCAGCACCCCCACGAGACTGAAACCAGGAGCAGAGCCGCGGGGCCAGCACTCCCCCAACCCCATCTAAAGCACTGAGCCTTGATGCTGCTGAGGGTCAGAAGCCCTGAGACTCCCCACCCAGCCTGGAGCCCTGACTGCCCCGCCCCGCGCCATGGCTGCTGCCCCAACCCTCCGTGGCTAAAGCCCGAGGCAGTACAGTATTGGTTGGGGTTGTTTTTTTTTTTTGGTCTGCGCTGCTGCCTGATTGAGGACTTCCAGTTCCACAGGGTGTCTGGTTGACTGGTAAGTCCGTAACTCTGGTGTTCATATCTTTGAGGTTCTACTGAAAAATAAAAGGAATATAAAGAAGCATGCAAAAGCCAGCTCTATCTTGTTAGATTTTCTGTTGCAAATTATCTTCTACAGGTGCCAGGTTGCTCAGCTTGAGTAAAACCTTCACTTAAGTGAAAGTCACCCCATGCAGAGATATAGCACAAAGCCCATGCTCTACTTAAGTCCCAGAATTTTTTTTTTTCTCAAAATAATGCTGAAAAAAGATTTACATGGTGATTTGTGCCAACTCTCTGCATAGGGTGATTTTAACCCCAAGATAAATGAATGTTGCCATTTTAAATCTTAACTAGGAGAAGAGCAAGAGAAAGGGCTAACAATATTGTCCTTCAACAGAAGACAAGGATTTGCTGGCCATATTTAGCAGAAAGTGTCTGCGGTTAATGATTTATGACAATCTCCAGGTGAGATTGGTGTACTAACATGACTCATGGCAAGGTTAGACTGGGGCAAGTTTCCTGTTCTCTTAAGGGACACTTACCCTCCAATTGAAGCCAAAGGTAGGACTCTTTCACCTTGGTGACTGTGGCAATGCAAATTTCCCCTGGATCAACAGGGTTCACAGCCTCAAGCTTCATGTTCTCTTTAAATCCATGGTTGGAAGTTAGCTAATAAAAAGATGACAGATCAAGGGATGTTTGGAGAAAATATGTGAATTTACCGGCCTATCAGATGTAAACAGCCATGTGGAGGACTAAAACATACAAACTTGATTACACGACCATGATGGGGGACTTCGAACACGTGTGGGTAATCAAGGATTCAGAAAGAATTTTCAGTGTAATTAACAGATGTCGGAATATGTAACCATATTTCAGGTTAAAGAGAATTTCAGATAAGCAAGGCAGAATAGTATGTAATGACACACACACATAGGGTTGCATTTGCACTGGAGCATGAGAAAAATTCAGCTGAGAGACTCATTGACAGGATTTCACCAAAACTAGAATCAAGAAACTCCTCGCAGTTATTTACCTGCAAGTGACACACCAGTAGCTAGCAAACTGAAATAATCAGACTGACAGGCAGAAGGCAACCCACCTCTCAACCCACTCCTCTCAGAAAAGCCCAGAGTCTGTATTTTCAGACACTGAGGAGAGAGGGCAAGAGGAGGATAAGCTGCAAAGAAAAGCTTTGCCAGCATCCCCCTTTTCTAAACCAGGAAGTTTGAGTGTTTCCCTGATGACTACATCTGCCTCAGTATTTTCGAGAGAGACGGTTGGCAAGGGCTAAGAAAACAGCCCTCTTGTGAGGCTTTCACAAAGTGTTCAGCAGTTCACCACTGTGGTACAGAATGACAAAACCCCAACTCAAGTCCTAGCAGTTTACTTTTAAAATTAGCTCAAAATGTTTCAATGGGAAAAAATTATATTGAATTTTCAAGTCAAATCATAACGACAGTTAAGGAAGAAGAGTGGGGAAAAAAACCCTAGATAGGTGGCAAGGGCTAAGTAGGGGAAGGGTACCATTTTAACACAGATGCACACATGAAGGACCAGTGCAGTGGCAGTGATTCCATGAACAGTTACATCTCATGTGAAATGGCCTTTTACTCTAGATTCACACTGCCACTGACAGCAGCATCTGGTCTGTAATCTGTGAACTCTGAATTTTTTTGTACAAGCACTTCAGTTCACCTTTATTACATTCTCTAGACACTTCTGTTCCATGAACACCTATGAGCTCTGTTTAGGTCACAGGGTCAAAAGCATTATGTGTCCACTGTAACAATCACAGGAAGCAAGGGTGTTGTTTATGTAAGTGGACATCATGTGGAGTAGCCACCAGTAAAAGAAAAAGCATTATTCTGCAAAAGCTCACCAAAGGAAAGCAGCTCTGGGGAGCAGCCTCAGCACCGCACTGTTTGAGGTAGTCCGCCCAATCAAAGTCCTGCCCGGGATAACCTGAGCAAAGAGCAAGCAAAGTGGTTGCTTAATTGTATTACACCAAACTGATGACTCCAGTCAACCAAATGCTTGCATTATGCAAGATATGGATGATTTAATTCCCAATTGGGGCATGTGGGTTGCACTGTACAATGAAAGGCCTAATCCAGCACCACTCCACAGAAGTGGTATAAGGAAATCCACAGCTTTGCCAAGTAAGCAACACAGGATCAGGCCCTGGATGGTTTTGCATGTTTTAAGTTATGCCCTACTGCTTGAGAGTTTGTCTTCACTGCAGCGTTAGTTCAAGGTATAACTCAAGTGCTGCCCCTAACCGGACTCCCGTTCACACACAAAAGTCTCTAGCCAAATTAAATGGTGCTTTAAACTCGAACTAGCTGGCGTGTCAGGCGGTGTGGTTTGAAGTTTGAGTGCTGCTAACACCGGAACTAGTAATGCAGTGAGAACTCAGTTACTCTATGCTGCTAATGGAAACACTCTATGCTGTTCAAGTGTTATTTGCCACTAACTCTGTAGGAGATAACTTGAGATAACACTGCAGGGAAGACAAACCTTACAATGTCCTTGCATTAGCTTCTCTGTTAATACAACTGAAGCTGTATTGCGATATGTTCAACTGCATCTTAGAAGCTTGCCTAGATCCCTTTTGAAAATGAGATGTAGGCTTCTATATCAGTTTGGTGTTGTAACACTGAGTGCAACAACACCTAAATACCTTTAAAAATATGGGTCTTAGTTTCTCTTTAGAGACTGTCTACTTGGAGATAGTTTGGACATGCTAGGCATGAGAGGGCATTAACCAGAACACATTACTGCAGGTTGACCACATTCTAGAGAATGCAGGAGGACTCCTTGAAAGGTGTCCCACAAAATCAGACTGCACAGCTGAAGACTGTCTCACTTTTAAATGAAGGGTTATAATCCAGAAAGGCTTAGATTTAATAGAAGTCGTTATTTACATAGTGCCTTAAATTTGCTAGGCACTGATGTACTGTATATTAAATAAATGACAACTAATGTAACGAGGATGAATCACTATGCAAATCCACTATATAGCCATTAAGCATGGTAGTTAATCTATTTTGTTATTCCATAATTATTATTTTAAAAAATCTATATTAATCTGGGATATGGGAACCTTAATGCAGAGCTGTAGGGAGCTCCGAGTCCAAAATCTCCAGTATCCAGGCAAAAGAGTTTCTTTTTGCAGCAGATATTCCCTTCTCCATCTTGTTTAGACAGAGTACAGAACATAAAGGAAGGGAAGCAGGGACCAAGAAACTGTACTGTTGTGCTATTCTGCCAGCATAGGATACTGTATGTGATTGAAAACAGCAGGGTTTCAGCAACAGAAGAACTATAGCACTGCTGTAATACTTCTTCAAAGTGGATAACTAAGGTATTCCCTACAGAGTACTACCATGACTTGGGTTTAGGAATTTATAAAAGATAAAAAGCTACACATGAAACAGCATCTATGATACTGTTTCAGGTTAAATTGCAGTAATTCCATCTAACCTCTCCTGGGATTAACCAGGACAGGGGCTATTTATGTTTTTTCTATTGCGTCAGCCAAAGCTAGGTCCAGTAGGAATCTCAAAGGCACCACACTTCCTTTAGAGGAGAAACCATTTCTGTGCGTGCTGCTTAGAAGAGAAGCCTGAAACCTTTTAATGGGCTCTGAATACAGGCCTGGGGAGCTAGACAGCTGGAACAGCAGTGCTGCTTTGTCCACAGTACCTTAGTACACCTAGTTTAAGGAAAGGGAAGAGGCAAACTCATTACACTTTCCGCTCCTATTAACCAGTGAAAAGCAAAAATGAAGCTCAGACACTATGCTGATGGGTGGTAGTATAAAACCCTAAGATCTTTGCCCTCTGCCCTACACATTTCCATCATTGAGCACTTGGGGAGTAAGAAAATAAAGCTGAACAGGCAGGATGAAGAAGAAAATTCCACAGCCATTGTACTGGCTACAGCATTCTGATATCACAGGAAGCGAGGCTATAGCTCACTAACTCCCTGCACCCTGGAATGCATGCTCCCTCCAAGGATAACCAGATGCTTTCATTCCAAGCCCAGCATGGGGTGCCCACAGCCCTCAAACCCAAGTACATCTCCATGAGAAGCCCAGACTCCACCAGCTTAATGCTGCTGATTTCTTGAATTTGGATCTTTCCCTTCCTCCTGCTGGTAGCACACATCTCTTCTGCAAAAATGCTGTCCCAGCTTGTAGATTTTTAACACAGTGCACTGGGGGATAATAATTTCATCCTTTCAAAGAGCTCTACTGCAGTGAGTCAGACAAAAGTGCAGACATGTACCTGGTGGAGGGCTGAGATGCAAACCATTTTTCAGACTCCACTGCACAGGAAAGATACCAGCACTGTTGACATGACAAATGTATGACCGGCTGGTTGTGCATTCTGGTCGCAAGTCATCAATTTCCACCAAGAAATATTTTTCATTGAACACCTGCAAAGTTATCCAAAAAGAGAGACACAGATGGCCTTTAGGATAGCAGATACACTTTCTTAATTTTGAAAGGCTAATCTATTGTCAGGTATTTTCCAAATCCCACATCTGCAAATATTGGGGGGGGGGGAGGGGGAGGCGGGGAGAGAGACAGGATGATTTACAGAATCACAGACCAGCAGACTGCATGATAATATCTGGAAATGTAATAGAACCATTAATAAAGCAGTCAATTTATAGGCACTTAAAAGACAAATGAGGTGATAAATAGCTAGCAATAAGTAATTGCCTAGAGAGCTATATGACTCCAAGTAAATAAAAAGGGCTCATCAAAACAATCCATATCAAGGTAACTTAATTTGTTTCTCTTTGATGAGATAACAAGCTTGTAGAAAAAAGGAAATAGAGTGGACATATATCCTGGCTTCATGTTCCTCACATTACACACAAGATATATGGATTATTATTTAAAAAAAAACAAAAAAACACATGCTCTTAGGTTGGTTGTTTTTTGTTTTAAATATCACAATAATGAACTATTTAATGTGTGACAGTGTTGAGTGGGATCCTAGAGAGGCTAGTTATTTCATAAGTTCACTATTTTCAATAGTGACTGACGATGAAAGAGAGCGCGAGAGAAGATAAATTTATGTGTGATCCAAAGCTTGGAGAGATGTGTCCAATATGTTTTTGGAAGACAGGATTATGAGACTAAAATACAAATTTAAGAACTGAGAAGTCCAAGAAATATTTAAAATCAGACACAAAGGTATGACATCTTGTAAGGAGTAAACAAAATACATAAATAAAGAATGAGGACTATGGTTAGGAACCTGAGCCACAGAAAATCATATGTTGAATGATAACCAGGATGGATCAGCTATGCAGTGCTGCCACAAACACACACACAAATGCCATATTGGGTGTTTTTACTTAGAATGTCAGATTTAAAAAAAAAAAAAAAAAAAAAAAAAATCAACAAGTGCCATAATGATTCTACTCCATTCAGAACTGGCTGTACCTCAGAGTATTACGTTAGTATTGCATATTTAAAGAGACTGATAAGTTAGAGTTCACAGGAGAGAGAAATAAAATATCTATAATGTAAGACATGATGTAGGAGCAAAGATTCAAAGAACATTCATTCTATAGTAAAAAGCAAAGGGAGCACAACATTTGTTTGAAAATACATAAAGGAAGACTAAATACGTTGTATAACCTCTTTGGAACCTGCATAGTGTGTGGATGTACAGTCTTCTGGAACCTCTTAGGTGTTTACTAAAACATAAAGATGTTGGTAAAAGCTGTCAAACTCGGGAGTCTAAAGCTGGGCTCTGAAATCCATACTTGGCATCTTTTGAAAATCATAAGTATGCACAAATTCCACTGAAGTTAATAGCAGCTATAAGGATTCAGCATTGTGTGAAAATCAGGCCATTCTAAGTTGCACGGATGCGATGAAGTGGGGAATTTTTATATGAATGCTTTGTGCCTCAGTTTCCCCTATGTGCTGCATGTTTAATGAGGTGGTAGGAAAGGGTGTTGATTGTTGCAGAGAACCAAGTGTGATCCTGCCTAGCAGCTGGGACCCAGACAGCCAGGACACTTTGTAACTTAGCAACTGATGGCCTACCCCATCTTGGAAGCCAGACGGCTTTGACCAATGGGAGAACCAAGGGCTAAAGAGAGACATCAGGTGATCTGTTTGCCCAGGAAAGATGACAAAGGATGGAGAAGGGGCCTTGGAGGTGTTACAGAGTGGGCCGCTGGAAGGAGTGGTTGCTTCTGGACTACGAAGAGCAGCCTGAGCCCAACTGGATGCTGGACAGTCCCAGATGGACTTTGCTAAGATTTTCTATGCTTGAGGCCCCTGAGAACTTTCTGTGCTGTGTTCCAGACATACAATAAACCTTTCTGTTTTTATTCATAGTTCGTGGACTCTCTGGGGAGAGAGTGTCTCACGGATAGAGACAGGTATGCTGAAGGTGTAGAGGTGCGGTTCCAGGAGGTGGTGGAGCCTAGGGCTTAAGGTCCAAGAGAGTGTGACTCCCGAGAAGGGCTGTCACACCGAAGGGGGTTCCTCCCAGGGACTGTACGGAGCCAAGATAGCACTGACCCTGTGATTCCATGACACATGACCAAGTATGGATTTAGGAGTCAAAGTTTAGGCACCCAGCTTTGATCATTTTGGCTGTTTATTCTTTCAAGCTATGATTCTCACTGCACCAATTTTTAACTAAAAAGTGTTCACCACTGGGATAAAGTCACCTGGCAGGTACCTGACCCACACGTGATCTATGAAAATTCTTCAGCTTAAACTCTAATGTAAGATTTAAGAAAGCATGCAGAGAATTCTCAATCAACAAGTACAGAACAAAAACGGTAACTGAGCTTCAGCCATAGCTGGAGAATTCAGAACGACTCCCGGTACCTTAACAACTGAGGCAGGAGAGAGGACAAAAGGTGCTACTGGATCCACAGCCTCTAACTTCATGCTTGCAGTGAATGAATGCACTCCAATCACTGGCTTGTCCTGAAAACCACAAGATTAGAGCACAGATTAACCATGTTTCTTAATGGAAAAGAACTGATAGTTTTCACCTTTAAGCACATAGAAGTTAATTAAGACTTTTTTAGCTCATCCTGCCTTGTTCTCCTAAATCATAAGTTTGGCACAGGTGACTGAGTACCAGCAAGAATTGTATAATGAAAATAAGGGGCAACTGTCCTTCCACTGAAGCTGTGAGTTTTTCCACAATATCAGGGGACCAGGGTTGGGCCCAGTCACAGGGTGGCCAGGCCCTGTAAATGAAGTAGGTCCAGTGCTCCTGAGCCAGAACAGGTACTTCCATTTGGCCAATTAAGAGGGTGTGGCAGCAACTGGGGCTATAGAGGATCAAGAAGAAACAGAGGGGAAAGACTCTGTGAGTCATTCAGGAAAGGCAGGTGAGAGTTGCAGGAGACCAGGAGACTGAGGAAGGCCCTGGAAGGATGCTGTAGCTGGTTCCTGGGAGAAGGCTGTAGTCAGGAGAGCAGCATGAGGGGTTTTGCTGGCTGCTATCTCCAAGCCAGACTTCTGGGGAAATGCGGGCTGGAGAGGGATGAAGGCGAGAGAGCAGTAGAGGGAGTTGTGTGCTGACTCTTTAGCTGGACAGGAGAGCAGCAGAGGAACTTAACCTGCTGCTATCTCCAAGGCTAGAAAGCAGGAAGTAAGGGAAAGTGTTAGGACCAGGGGGAATGAGGGATGCTTCCCTGGTGAAGATTATCTCCCAGCATAGCAACTGTGGGGGGATTTCTGCTGGGAAGATCAGGGTTGCACTTTAGTTGGAAGGGCTGGCGTGGCTGTCTCGTCAGAGAGGCATAAGAAGACTGACGAGGAGCCTTGGGGTGGTGGAAAATGCTGGCATATGGTATGTGGTGTGTTGTCATGGGATTTTAAGGACTCTATAAACCAGCGTGATAAAGGGACTATGTAGGGACTTTTTTATGGACTGATATGCACTATAGTTTTGATAATAAACTGGCCCCAAGGAAGGTTATTTTTGAAGCAAGAGAGACTGAAGTGGAATCCTTGGGTTGCCTGAGAGGGGAAACTGAGGCAGGCGCACTTGTGCCACAGCCTGCCACAGAAAGATGCTCCATGTGGGACAACCCTACGACAGGCCCCAAGAGATTTCCCCCAAGAGCTTGGCAAACTGTGGCTTGATCTTGCAGCAGAATGTGGCCACAGGCCAAACAAGTCAGTTAAAATATTTTTCTAATCCTCAGTACTAAACAAAGCGAGACAAAGTGGTTGATCCCTAATTTTCAGCCACCTGAATGGGGAACATCAGAACCTGCATCAAATGGCAACACTGCTCAATAAACACCTGACCCTGACATGATACATCATTGTAGTCAGCAGTAGCAAGCCCTCATTCAATTTGCTCTAATGGCTTACTCTCCTACATTAATTCTGACAGCTATGACAAAAGCCAGCAGTTCTCACTACACTATCTGGAGCCTTGCTTGATCAAATTCTGTGCACTGGATATTTTACCTTAAAGAGATCAGTGGGTACTGAGGACCCTTCTTCTTCCTCTTTCACCTTTGTCAAGATGTCCTGCCATTCTGCCTCACTCTTCAGGGACCGGATAGCTTCAGCAAAAAAATGTAGCATAGTGAATGAGCAGAGTCCTTGTATCTCCCACAGAAAATGAAGAGGGGTGAAGCTAAATTATTTTTATTTTTGACCCATTAAATGCTAAGCAGAGCATCCATTAAGAAACCATATTACTTTACCTCAGAGCTCCAGCTAAGAACTCTCAGCTTTTCTAAATGTTTTAGGATACCTTGTGTATGAAGAGGGACTACATAAATCAAGTTCCACTGTGTGAACTATATACTTCTACATCTTTAATTTGATGGAGAGCTTGGGGTCATACTGATCACACCCATAATGTAATAAAAGAATATACAATACTGAATTTACTAATGAGATGAGATTTATTGCTGGTCATTTCCTCTATTTTTATGGCTGCAGGTTAAACAGGCAGCAAGCAATGAAGTATCGCAGAGTGTAGCACAGTTAGGTGGGGCTATTTCCTTTAGTATGCCCCATCACAGATTGCTACCACCTCCAATGGGGAAGGATAATTTGGGTTCCTGCTAAGATTTATTAAGGGATTCCTGGAACTGGATACCAAAAGGCTTTTCTCACAGAATATCAAGGACGCAGCCCAAAACTAGATTAAGAAGATAGTCCATATGCCCAGTGTTTAAAAACTGCACTATTTAAATCCTTAAAGAGAGAGAAACTGATGGCATAGAATTTTGTTTATTTTCCATCAATACAGTGATGCCGGTGAAACAAACAGAATATTAATTTTTCAGTGTGATTCCAAATCCTCCTGTTTGGGACTTGAGACAATTATCAACAAGGGAAATACTCTCATTGACGTCAGCAGGAAGATGGATTTGGCTTCTCCTCTAACTGCTTAAAAAAAAAAAAAAAGATTGACTTCTAAAAAACTAAATTCACATGCACTGTTTAAAAGTTAGAATTTAATGTAAATGCCCATCACTGAGACCATGGGCACCTTGTGTTTCTGAAGTAAATTCTCTTCTGCTTTTTCAGGTAAGAGATTAAGAGAAAAGCCCAACACTTTTCAGTTTATATCAGAAGTGTCACTGCCTTTTGAGCTGGTGACCAAAACCAACAATTACTGTGATTCAGGGGATAATTTCTAAGGCAGAGGAAGGATATACTTTCAAAAAAATCAGTGTGATTAATCACTCCCAACAAATGTTAAGCCAGCTACACCACATAGCAAAATGTAATTAGCAGGAACAGTACCCCTTTGGGGAAGTTGCGGCCACATACCCAAAACCACCAGAGGAGTAAAGATACTTGGCAAAACAGCATCTTTGGAAGCTTGCTTCTGTTTAGCTAATCACTGCTTAAGGTGTGATCCCCGATTATAGTGGACAATCAATTCTCATAATCAGTTTAATTAGCTCCTCTTTTAAAACATATATTATGACAGATCATCTTGTGTGGTTTTGTTAATGGAGGAGGTGCTTATGCTGAAGTGGGAGTGGCACCATCTCCACTTCCCTGAACTTCAGAGAGAGCCATTTACATTGACAGGCATTTGCACTACATGCATTGTTCACCCCCCCATTCCGTAAGGTGTACTAACTTTCCAGGACAACCTACTATGCACTGTTGTACTCCTACTTCAGGTGGAAGCCTAGGCATCATAGTGGGCTGGGAAGTCTCTACTGACCTGGCTCTAATAGAGGTGTGCTGTTAAGGAGCAAGAAATGGGGACCTTTGTGCAGAGCTCTGGGATGGAGTTTCCCGAGAGATGAAATATAGCATTGCATTAGTTACACTTTATTACAAGGATTGTTTTCCTCCTACCAGAACCCAAGGCCATTAAAATAAATGTCAAAAGACAATCCTTCCCCCACATTCAAGTAGGTTAAAGATGGTGACAGGCAAAAGCAGCTATGAACATTACAACAAGCGGGTGTAACCTCTGTCATACTATTTAATTGAACACTCTTTCATTAAAGAGTGGGATGTTTGTTAGATCTCAGTCTCGTGGTGTGTGCACACATGGATCTGGAATCCAGATTTAGAGTACAAAAGAGGGGACTGCAGTCTCAAACTCATGATCACCAGCTCTATCGACAATAGATTTAAAATGACAGGTTACTTGGTACCTGCTGGAGGTTGGAGGTCATATCCCTGTTGAGCTGCCCAGCCCATTTGATGAAGAAATGGATCCAAGTAGAACATCCACTGATCAGACTGGTCAGAATCTACCAAACCTTCGTAGCGCAACTTGAGCCTCCCGCCAACATTTTCCACCACCTTGACAATCCAGGCTGCCAAGGAGTCTTGGGAGTTTTGACATTCCAGTCTGGAGCCTGGTGCAATGAGATCCAAGGGATTCTTCCCTCTGTGAAGCTGGAGGCCAAAATGGACAGAACAAAAAAAGGACCATAAGGAAAGTGACCCATACAACTAGTTCAGAAGAGACTGAGTTATGTAGATTCTGCACTGTCACTGATGCTGTGTCTTAGACACACCTTCGGGCTGTAGACCACTTGTCCAACTGAAGCATGAATATAGGAGTCAAATAGCATAGCACCCCTAACCAAAGAGATTACAGAACTCACTAGCCATGATTGCTTGCATCAGAGCTCCTGCGGTATCTGCAGTCATGGTCATAAAATTATGGGGTTTTTGCAAAGGCATGGGATCAGTGTGCTGTTCATCTGTTGTTTCAGAGGCATTTGCCAGTTGTACATTCAGGGCTTGAAGTGGAGTAATACAGCCCACCCTTTAAAAATTCAGACATCTTTTTAATATGTAAGAGGACAGGACAGGACAGAAAAGAAGCAAAGATGCTCATGTTAAAAGGTGGAATATAAACAATGTTTAAATGGTAAGCATATCACTCATCTTCCAAAGTGTAATCACACTGCTCTGTATGGGGAACAGATTAAGATTAGAGATTAAACGAGGTGGCCAGGTTTTTGTTCTTGATTCTATTTTATTCAAACCAAGGATCTAGCTACAGAGAAATGGGTGATAGTTAGGTTCTGAATTTGTCCCATTTCAAGCAGAGGTACACGAGTTAAGGAGGGAGACAAAGGAATGCAAAAAATTTCTGTTCAATAGTAAAGAGAAGATTAACAGGGGACATGACTAAGGAAGGAGGCATTTTGAAGGTCAGACAAGGAAGAGATTCCACAAAGCTATTTGGAAGGAGGAACAGGCCAAGAGAAAGGGCTGGGCACTAAGGGAATTTGTGAGGAGCTCCTTTACTCTGACAGGCGTTAATGGGTGGAAGAGATAATCTGAACCTGCAGTTACAAACACTGTTCAGGAAAGCATTTGACAATACACAAATGCTACACAGATACCAGAAGGTGGACCGAACATATTTTTCTGAATTTCAACAGCTTACAGCAATAGCACTTAAAATTAAGAAAGATGTAGAAATGATTCACTTACAAAAGGCTTTATTTTATATACTGTGGTTAAAGATGCTAAGAGTGTCGTAGCCCTAAAAAAGAAGCCTCACTGTTGTTTCAAGTGAGTTAATTCAGTCTATTTGAATAAACACTCACACCCTCTAGCAGGTTAGCAGGAGCACTGCATGCTCCTGTCAGTGTCTGTCGAAGGAATTCTTCCTGGTCAGATATCTTATCCTTGATACCTAAACAAAAAACAAGGGTGAGAGATTACTTCTGTGGCCAGCAAAACGCTACTTCAAGCAACAAATCATTTGAGTGCCCTCGAGACATTTCATTCAGGAGGGTACATTTCTCATCCATACATCAATAAGAAGGCCCATATGCTCCTACATCAGAATGTGACTTTACCTTAGATTACTTAATGATAAGCAAGATTTCACATTAGTGTTATTTCAACAGATAGGGTCAACTCAGAACTTTCCTTCATTTCAATACAAGAGTACAACCCTTTCAGATAATAGACAAGAGTTGGTGAAAGTGGGCGGGTCTGAAGTTTTAAATAAAATCTATCATGAAGTGAACCTTCTTAAATAACTGATCTCTGTTTCACCTGCCTTGAAGTGTGAGCGTCAGCCACTTTGATAAATAGGTTTCACAGGACCCAGTATGGGGAGCTGCTCTTGGGGCATCAGGTCTCAGCAGTTACCTAGAAATGATGCGAGGGAGCAAACAAGCCCCTCTTGGGGATGGCCTATCAGACATTCCATTCCACAGGCAGGCACCAGGTGAAAACCAAGAGCATGACCCCAACAGCATCTTCATATCAAAGATCATTCTCAGGCTGGTTTCTTTCCAGACTCTGATAATGGACCTCAATGGGAGCACCATACGGATATGCGGCAATGAGGGGGAAAGAGTGTTAAGAAGGAGGACGAGGTTCTATGTAGAGAAGACCTATATTGGAGTGGTTGTACAGCGTTTGTTACAAGGAGGGACAGCAAGGTAGATAAGTGTAAAACACTGATTGTGCAGCTCAAAATTAACCTGGTATTTGTTTTCTCTTATTTTTTGTACATCACGGCCACTGATATAAACATAGCTTTGGGAATGAAGCTTATGACAAGCACAAAGCACAGTCATTTACAGAGTAGGTTCTATGTAAAAACAAGTGGTTTTATGAAAAGAAAAAAAAAAGTCTCAGTGGCAAATGCCTAAAAATAGCAAAACCAAAGAATTTGGGTGGCAATGGCTAGTGAGTACCAAAAATCTATGTTTTAAAGGCAAGTCTAATTTGGGTCCAAGCTACTGGTGCATCTCAGAAGATAAAAGGATTCATTATAAGTGCAAGTACATAGAAGTTTTTGAGATGAAGCCGGCAGTCAAATTAGCTCAACAGTTTGAGATGTTTTATAGCAAGTGCAAATTGCTTCTCATAGCAGTTACAAAGGGCAAAGCATACATGAAAAAATAAATTCCACACTCCCTCATTTCCATGGGGAGTTGTTACCTTCAGGCACTTTGAGAATCTTTTTGTTCTGCTCACACCAACCAACTGGGTGTAAGTCAGCTGTCATGATGTCGCACCAAAAGTCTGCCTTGCGGTCTTCCCCATAGCCATCGTAGCGTAATAGGAGCAACTGCCCACAGGTAGTGATGATCGTGGCTACCCAGTAGTTGTTGTGGTCAGACTTGATAGCAACCTCTATCTTCATACCAGGGGCAAAGCCATTCTGCAAACTAGTGTCCACCTGAAAAAGGTAAAAACAACCACAACTCAGTGGCTTATACAAACTCTATGGTAAGGGAGGTAAAGCACACTCTTTTCTATTTGGCCAGCAGCCCTACCAAAGCTCAGACAACTGTCACCTCCCAAAATGCCAGTCTGCCTCCTCAGGGACATATCTGATCTAAATAATTAAACATGATCTCATTTTAAATGGTGTGAAGGTATCTTTTTATCATTAATTAAAATAAAACCTGCTCATTGCAGTACATCATCCTTTCCCCAAGAGCTCCGTAAGTCACAACTGGGCATTCAGGCCAGTCGATGCTAAAAGTAAAATATGTCAATATACTTTGATCCCTGGTGTAAAAGAATAACATTTTCATTATTCCTCATTATTTTCATTATTCTGAAATATCCCACTTGGCACCTCTAACAAGGTCTGACTCAGCTGCACAGCACATTCCAGGCTTTAATGATTTTTCTGAGGCTGCTCCCTCTGAGTGCTGGTTAGCATACTGTCCTGTTCTTTCACTAAACAGATGGCTTCTCCTCTGTCAACAAATTTTACTCTTAATGTTTTGCTTGCCTTCAACTGCACTTTGCTCTCTGTTTGTTTCTGTCCTTCACCTCAGTCACTGCATCCCCTTATTACTTCTAATATCTTAGAGGTTTGGAATGGTTTTACCATTGCATTCCAGTAATGTCCACATAAAGCCTAAGACTGATATACACAATTTGTAGAACATTAAGAGCATTGAGGAGCCTCATCTTATTCACCCTGTTAGCACCATCATTAACTTCTTTCCAAGATAAAAAGAAGTCTGGCTGCACAGTCTTCCATACAGAAGCTTCTATCCTTTTCTCAAAATGAGAATGCAGTACAGGATGCTTCCCTTCCAGTGGTTGAAGTAGTTCTGACAAGGAAGGAAGACCTTAACTACTTTACCACTAATACAGTATACATCTGAGCTACCTTTTATTCTACATCTCTGTTCCCATTTTAATTCAAAATCTAGCATTCAAGCTCTTTTCCACAGCCGAATCTGAGTTAATTGGTGCATATACATGGCTGGTCTCAAGGCCCCATTTCTCTTGGATTAACTGCTAGAAATACTTTGCCACGAGTCAGACACAAGTTGATTTTTTTTTTTTTTTGCATGTGTGTGTTATTGACTACCAACCTTCTTGTTACTGGCTGGCCTGTAATTACTTGGATTATTAGATTTTAATCAACCATCCATTTAAGCAGAAGTTTATTATACACAGAAATGTCAGGAACACCAAAAGAAAACCAAGGCATAAGTTTATAGATGCCTATTATTAAGTGCTCAGCTTCTTAAGCTCTTGCTCTTCACCTTTGGAGTTCCTGGTCTGTCTATTTGACATTCAGAATCCTTAAGAAAAAAAAATCATCTAAAACCTAGGCTACTTAAAATAAAAATTTAAAGAGGACAATATTTTACACTCTAAATCTTGAGAAGAAAGCCACAAGCTCCCTTCTCTACTGCAGCTGGCAACATCTTCTGTACAAAACCTGAAGGAGGCAAAGCAACTCTGTAATTCCATGACAGTAAATGGGGGTCCCTTCTCACTGTATTACAGAGATAATCACATGGAATTAGAAATGAACACTCTGATAGAAGTAGCCACCTGTGGAACTACTGTAGTGCCATATATGGTCCCATGTAACTGCAATAAAGGTTTGCCCATTCACCAGAGGATCCCTTGGAGTGAGAGAGGTGAGTGCCCTCTTCTGGTAGAGAAACAAGTCTGCAACAAAATTAAATTTTGTAGACAAAATGTATGGTCTGGCCACTGACGAGATTCTGACGGGTGAGACACCCTGGGTAACAACTCTGAAAATCTGTTAAACTTTCAAGCATTGAATTTAGAGAAGAGACTGTTATGTCCTGCAAGTATAAAACTGAGTTGCCTGACTGAGGATACATCTCATTATTGTTTGTATTGCAATAGCACATAATGGCCCCAGTAGGACAGTACCCCATTGTACTAGTTGCTTTACAAATACAGAAAGACTTTCTCTGTCCTAAGAAGATAACACTGATTAACAACAAGATGTAATAAGTATAACAGGAGGAGGGAAGAGGTGTTGTACAGACAGAATAAGGGAACACAATCATGTGGGGTACATAAGGCAATGATGTGCTCAATTTCATGGCCATACACAAGTTACACACGCAAAAAACATGGGAGCAATAGAGCTTCTCAAAGAAAAAGTTTGCTAGAGCTGGGAGGGAGGGGTTAGTTGGTTTTTCTTTTTTTACATGGACAAAACCACAATTTTTCTCCAAATCTCATTCTCAGGAACTGATGAACTCTTAACTTAAAAACTTTCCAACAAATTTCAGTCAGAAGCAACACCTAGCAGGGAAATTTTGGCCAGAACAGTTAAAGTTTAGCAAAGTTATAAGCACTGAAAACAGAGTCTTATAATAGGAAGTGTCTGGCAACCTGAATTACAGGCAATGCTTCCAGGTCTTCCTATAAAAATCCAACCATCTCTAATTGTCAATCAGCCTAGCACCACTAGCTGGCTATCATCCCAACTCTAGAGGAATGAGAAAGAGTGGAAGGGAATGCATAGGCAGAGAGATTAACAGATTTATTAGTCCAAGGAAAATAAGTATAAGAATGCACAGAGAAGCTAGACACTTGGTCACAGAGTACACAAGTTAAAATAACCTTGTTCACAGTCCTCACCCTCCCATCAATTGCTATTAATTGCATGTGAAGAGGAAGCAAAATGCTTCCAGGTTCCTGAGTCAACTCAGTATGTGGACTAGAATCATTTGCATGGGGCCCATGGACTTATTTCAGGTGTCACAGACTAGATCAAAGGTTCTCCATCTGTACATATGCTAGTGATAATGGTATATTTGTATGAAGAGCTTAGTTACATGGTGCTGATTCCCTTGTTTCTAGCTGCAAAATCATTCATGGATTCATATATTAAGGCTAGAAGGGACCATTATGATCATCTAAGTTTGACCTGCATAATACTGGCCTTGGAATTTCATCAAGTGGTCTGATGATTATTACCCTCACTAAAGAAACTTCACCTTATTTCTAGGCTGAATTTGTCTAGCTTTATCTCCAGCCATTACATCTTGTTATCCCTTTGTCTTGTAGACTAAAGAGCCCTCTACGATTAGAAGTTACTGCCTATGTAAGTACTTATGGGCTGAAGAAGTCACCTCAGAACCTTCCTTGTTAGTTAAATAAATTTAACTTCTCAACCTCACAGTAGAACAGGTTTTCTAGACCTCAAATCATTCTCATAGCTCTCTTCTGAACTCTAATTTGTCAACATCCTTTTTAAAGCGTCTATACTAGAACTGGACATAATATTCCAGGGATGTTCTCACTAATGACATATACAGTGGAATAATACCTCTCTACTTCTCATTGATAGGCTCCCGCTTATACATCCAAGCATTTGCTATCTTGGTCCTTTGAGTCACTGCTTACCAAAATTCAGTCCCCCATCTAGTAAGGGTGACATATATTTAGGGCCCTTCGTTTTCATTTATTTTATTTTCCTGGCAATTTATCAGTGTTTATTTCCACAACAAATAAAACAGGTGAAAATCAGTGTAAAAACCTATTAATTTTTCTGGGTAAATAACAGGGTTGATTTTGGTGGACAGAAAGGGGAAAAAAGTGTTCAGTAGATTAATGCTTTGAATTACGTTCATCAATGCGGTTTGCCTCAGAACTAAAACAGAACTCAAAACACAATGCCAAGTCTGTTGCAGACTTAGAACTATCAGCCTATAAATATTTGCATTTAATAATTGGGCCACACCATTTGCAGCGCATACACTCATCCTTTTCTCCTGTTTTTTTTGTTTTTTGTTTTTTTTAACTTTGAATAGTTTTGTGACGGGTTGGATCACAGAAACCCCCCTGGGAGCTGCCACCCGATGTGCCAAGACTACTTCTGCCCCCGGCTTTCCCTACCAGCTCAGGACCCCAGCACCCTGTCTTGCTGAGCCAGACACTCCCGTCTGCTCCAACACAGACCCAGAGTCTGAATGACTTGCCCCAAAGCTGCAGGTTTACCTGAAAGCAGCTAACAGAAGTGTTCCTGTCTTTAACACTCAAATGCCCAACTCCCAGTGAGGTCTAAACCCAAATAAATCTGTTTTACCCTGTATAAAGCTTATACAGGGTAAACTCATAAATTGTTCGCCCTCTATAATACTGATAGAGTGATATGCACAGTTGTTTGCTCCCCCAGGTATTAATACATACTCTGAGTTAATTAATAAGTAAAAAGTGATTTTATTAAATACAGAAAGTAGGATTTAAGTGGTTCCAAGTAGTAACAGACAGAACAAAATAAGTCACCAAGCAAAATAAAATAAAATGCGCAAATCTATGTCTAATCAAACTGAATACAGATAAGATCCTCACCAGTTCCAGAATGCTCCTTTTTACAGACTAATCTCCTTTTAGCCTGGGTCTAGCAATCACTCACACCCCCTGTAGTTACTGTCCTTTGTTTCAGTTTCTTTCAAGTATCCTGGGGGTGGTGGGGGGTGGAGAGGCTCCCTCTTTAGCCAGCTGAAGACAAAATGGAGGGGTCTCCCAGGGGTTTAAATAGACTTTCTCTTGTGGGTGGAGACCCCCCTCCTCCCTCCTATGCAAAGTCCAGCTCCAAGATCGAGTTCTGGAGTCACCTGGGCAAGTCACATGTCCATGCATGACTCTCAGTCTTTACAGGCAGAAGCCATTGTCCACATGGTATCTTGTAAGTCTCCAGGAAGACTTCTTATGTGGATTGGAGCATTCCAAGATGCATTGTTCCCCAAGTGCTTCCTGATTGGGTACTTAACCTTGCAAATTCCTTCCTAAAGAAGCTGATCGAATGCCTCACAAAGCTTACTTAGAAATCAAACAAGTATACAGCCAATATTCTTAACCTCAAGTACAAAATGAAATATGTGTACAAATAGGATGAATAGATATAGTAGACCATAACCTTTACAGAGAGATGTT